TCAATTCTCCTTGAGTTAATTTATAACTTTAAACACGTTTCCAATAAAAAACATCACTAGGAATTTTTTTTTTTTTTTAACTAGACAGATGATTCTAAAGTTTGTATGGAAAAATAAATATGCAAGAGTAGCCAGGAAATTTTCAAAAAGGAGAAGGGGACCAGTCCTGCTGGCTATTAAAACATACTTTAAACCTACAATAATTTAAAAAGTATGCAACAGATCAATGTTACAGAGTGAAGGGTACAGAAATAAATCCAAATATATATGGACATTTAATACCAGTATCTATTAAAGGTGGTATTTCAGTCAATGAGGAAAAGATGAACTATTTAACATATTGGATTGGGGCAACTTACTAGAAGTCTGGAAACAAAGTTGGATCTATATACTTCACACCTTTTATCAGGGCAAATTCCAATGATATCAAAGACTTAACGTTTATAAAATGAAAGCATAAAAGTACTAGTGAGAAACCTTGGGAGAATGCTTTTATAACTTTGAAATGGGTAAAACAAAGACTTTCAAATGAAAACGTAAACTCCAAAAACCATAAAATTAGACATCAATTCAGTTACATCAAAAGAAATACGATTGGCCTGGCAGGAACCGGCATAAGCAATGTCAGAAGTCAAAGAGTAAACTGGGGCAAGCATTTGCAATTCTTAGCCCACACAAAGGTTGTTTCCTAATATAGAAAGAACTCCTAACAATCAATAAACACCACCACAGGAAAATAGGTAACAGTTCACAGAAAAAAAAAATACGGATCACTTTTAAATATAGGAAAAAATGCCCAAACTTGCAGAGAAACCTAGGGATATACTGAAATACTGTTTTTACCTATCAGACTACCAGACTACCATGGTGTGGTAACACACCATGGTAGCAAGCAGGGACTATCATATATGCCTTATGGAGATGTAAACTGCTCAACCTCTAAGGAGGGCAGTTTGACAACATTCATCAAAATCCACAGTTTTTACTATTTGACTCAGAAATTTCTAGGATATGTGTACAATTACTTTCATATATGCACAAGATGTCATATGTACAAACTTAATCACAGCAGCACTATTTATAATAGCACAATATTAGAAGCATCTTAAATGCCCCCCCCAAAATGTGGTGTAGTATCATACAGCCATAAAAATGAATTAGGAGACTCTTCATGTGTCGAGACAGAAAGATCTCCAATATAGCCAATATATAAGTAGAAAATATAAGGTATGAATGAGTGCATATAACAAGCTCCCATTCAGTTAAACGGGAGGAAATGAATGTATATTCACATTTTCTTTTTTACGTATAAAGTGTGACCAAGAGGATACTCAAGGAATGAGTAAAAAGCAATTGCCTGTAGGGGGGGGAAAGGGGGTGTCTGGGGAACAGAGGCAGGAGGGAGAATATTTCCTGTAGGCCCTTTACACGTTGGACTTTATGAACACGTGAATGTATTACCTATTGAAAAAGATTGAATAAAACTATTAATAGATCAACTTAATAAATAAAGGCTAGTTACATTGGCTCATAGGGAAAGGGATGTTGCTGTATTTGTTTCCATTATTTAAAAAAAGAAAAAAGAAGAACACCCTACTCCTTAAAAAAAGTGTCCCAGTCCTCAGAAGTGCCCTGGCCTTGTATTTGGGGACTGAGTAGAGAGGGATTGACGTCTAGGCAGGAGCCCCTCTTTGCAAAGCTGTCAGTCCACGAGTTTGACAGCTACCTACTGTGTGCGCAACCATGACCCGAGTGCCAGGGGAACTTTCTCTCAAAAAGAAAAGTCCAGTCACCCTGCCCTGCAGGCTGGGCTTCAGAGCGGGCAAGGCTGGGAAATGATTGTCCCCGACCCTGCTTCCCAGGGAGGCTTAGGGACCCCTAGGGAAGAGACCACACTAAAAGCCAAGAGGTAGAGAAATCTTAGGGCGGGAATGGGAGCTAGAAAGGCAGGGGTCTTGGCACAGCAGTGCTGGTAAGAGGAGAGGGAAATGATGAGGGGACCACCGCCCTCAGCCAGCTGTGCAGCTAGCAGAACTTCGGGGATGCCACCCTCTTTCTGCAGGCTCCGTCCCCTCTCCCTTGCAGGGAAGGGCATTCTCTCTCCTCTCTCATTCTCCCACCTGAGCAAGCATGGCCCTGGGCTTCCCTGAGCGCTCCCATCCCCTGAAACCCCACTCAGGAACTCACTCAGAGCCCGGGACGAGACAAATTTGGTCTCTGTGGTATGAGTAGTTTTCTTTTTAAAGTGAAACTGAAGACCCCCAGAGAAATAAAGTTCCAGTAGCAGCCTTTCTGGCCCCCAGGGGTCTCTCAAGCTGTGCTAATCTTTCCTGTTACAAAAGGAAAGGAACATAAATCACTAACTCTTCCTTGGGACTTGGATTCCCATGGGGAGTTGGAGTTGAGATAAATACAGGCAGTGGAGGGGGACTCCAAGGAAGATGTCAGGCATCATCGACAGGACAGTGGGAAGAAATGCTTTGGCCTGGGGCCTCCCTTCGCCACAGCAGAGGGGCAGCTGCTGCAAAAGATGCTCGGCCCTGGTGGCCGCCCTGGGCCTGCAGCAGGAGTGACTTCTCTCCTCCAGGGAGCAGAGGGGCAGGGAGCCCAGGGACGGTGTGCACCTGGGCCAGGGCAGGCAGAGAAGAGCAGGAGGTGGGGAGAAACTAGGTGGTCCACCTTCTCTTGCTCTGAGTAGGAGCCCCCCTAGCAGAAGGAAAGGCTGAGCCTGATGGGCCGGAAACACTGAGTCGCAATTTTCAGCACAAGGGCAAGGTTCGGGTTGGCTCAGAATCTTCTGAAATCTGTTCCATTCGTACAAATGAGAACGAGTCCTTCCTATGACATAACAAAGGCTTTAAAAGAGAGTGCTTGAGCGATGGCACGCGGGGTCCTTTATATTTTGGGGGTTGGTGACTGGCACTGAACGTCGTCCACCACTGAGAAGGCAGGAAGGTAGGGGAGTGTAGTACACGGAGGCAGCGGTGCCAGCCTTCAGAGCCAGGGACCTGAGTTCAGGTCACAGTCCCACCAGCACCCCGTCACCTTACGGAAGTCACTTGCCCTCTTCCAGTCTCCCTGTGCTTGTTTCTGCCACCGTCGTGCAGAGTGTGCTCTTCCTCACTCTCAGGGTCGTTCAGAATACGAATGTGGTTTGTAGACTACCAGGTGCTTTCCGCAGGTTGTCGTTACTATTAGCGTGGGTGTTGCCATGGTGATCATGGTGGGCAAGGTAAGGGTAGGTCTTGGAAAGGCAACTCTATAGACTGGAGAGCGTGTAAGGGGCCCTAACTCAGCAGGGCCCTGGGTCAGCCTCTCAACCCCTCAAACGTTTGCAGGACACCCGGCTTCCTCTCAGTTTCCTCGTGTTAGGGTATCAAAGACCGGCTACTTTCACACACCTCGTGAGAGTAACCCTTCACGCCAGCACATGGGGTTACAGACCAGCAAGACGACTGCACCAGGACCACACCCCAGTAGTGACTGCAACCCAGGCCACCTGCACCCGAGTCATGCTCCCCTCACTGCTCCCCTACCCCAGCCAGAGCGGAGCCTTGACCACACACGGTGGCCAGGGTAGGGACTCGGGGAGCCCTGGTCCCAAGGGCTCGGGTGCACTCTTCTTTCTGTAGCTTGCAAGCATTTGCTTAGAGCAGCACATTTTATGTGCTTTCTCTTTTCTCAAGAAGTCCCAGCTGTATGAGGAAATGGGGCCACGGGTGCAAGACAGGCTGGCCTTAGAGTGTTTCCTGCCCCACCTTTGCACTCGGGCCTGGATTCCTGACGGTGGCCGGAGTTCAAGTCCGGACGCCAGCAGGCTTGTGAGAAAGGCCCCTCTTGCTCTGTGTGCCGGGGAGTCGGCCTTCTTTGCAAGGCCGCCGCGCCCCAGAGTGACTGCTGAGAGAGACCCAGGGTGAGGACCTCCATCTAGATCTTTATATGGGACATGTCTGGAATTTGCAGACTTGGTAGGGGAATTCTTATCCAGAACCCTAGATTCTATACGAGATCTTAGGGGAAACCCAAACTGTAAAATAGGCCATATGGAAGCTGCACTGGCTGAGGCCTGAGAACCACCCAGCTCTATGGGGCCTGGCTATTGAAATCAATGGGCCCTCCTTCCTGCACCCAGACCCTTCCCCTGCTTGGCCTGCTTGCCCCTAAGAGACTGATCTTGCACATGCGTCGTGTGCGCTTGTGCAGGCTGGGGCTTCAGCTACCCTCAGCCCCTCAGCATGAATTTCAGATTTCATGAATTTCAGACCCCTCTGGGCTCTTTGGGTTTGTTCTCAACATGTCTGTCTGGCCTCACCGTTTACTGGGACTCAGTTCTCTGGTCCCTTCACTGCCTTTTGCGGGTGCTGTGTTGGCCTTCCCCTCCCTCCCTCCCACCTTTTCTCTTCATGCTCTGTGCAAACCGTACCACCTAGCCAAGCTTCTCTTGAGAGTCAGTTTCCTGGGAGCCCTCCCTGCCTGTGCCAGCCATCAATGGTCTCCCTCCCCGCCTCCCCCCAAAACACAGCAGCTCACAAAGTCAGTGTCCTGTAAAGCAGCACCTGGTTCTTATGTGGTGTATCTGCTTCATTGGTGCCAATATGTGTCAGTCTTGTCCCACCACCGGATCCCCATGATTCACTGATGAAGGGAGGGGCGTAAACTCCTTCCTTCTCTCTTTTCAAGATCTGAATCATATGAATTTCAGCACATAGTAAAGGCTTCAGTAAATAGCTGCCGACTCCTCTAAACCAAAGCAGTGTTGAGACATTCCTGAGGTTACAGAAGCTCCTCCCTCAGGCCGGAATGAATGGGGGGCACTTTTGGGGGTTGGCCATTGTGGGCAGGAGCCCTGGACTGGGGTTGGTTGTTGGCAGATCAAGCCTCCTTGAAGACTTTCCTTTCTGTAGCAGATTTCCCTGAGATGTGCACATACCTCTCCACCTCACAAAGGTCATATTGGGATGAGTGAAGCATTAACCATGTGGTTCTGGCCCATCTTACAGGGATTTGAAACTGGACAACATCCTTCTGGATGCAGAAGGTCATTGCAAGCTGGCTGACTTCGGAATGTGCAAGGAAGGGATTCTGAACGGTGTGACGACCACCACGTTCTGCGGGACTCCTGACTACATCGCTCCCGAGGTAAGACCACGGACAAAGGGCCGCCTCCTCCTGTTGCCAGGGCTGAGGCCTGAGTCCATCCCCATGTGCCAGGGTCATCCAGCGGTGCTGGGGAAGGCTCTGGAAAACCAGAATGGATTCCGGGGAGGAGGGAGAAGAGGCAAGGTAAAAGGCTTTGCCGATTTCTGCATAAGCAAGTGGTGGTGATGGGGAGATTATGGTGAACTGAGAGTAGCAGGCCATTCCCCAAAGCTGGCCAGGCCCTCACTGAGCATCCTCTCACCCCAGTCCAGAGCTACCAGTGAAACTAGGACCAAGAGACGTTTGTTGACTTGTATGATTGCTTTCATTTTTTAATAACCGGAATAAAGGAGAGCCATTGATAAAGGCAGTGATTAGCTTTATCAGCTATAATTGGCCTACGGTGAAACCAAGTGGTTGCCATTTCTAGTGCAGCAGTGATTCCGCATAGCAGGCACACAGGATTGAGCCGGAAGACGAGAGTGCCTGGGCCACATTTTAATAGAGATCAGAGGTGTTCATGGTGAGCCTCGCCAATAGGTTGCCTTTCGTGGGAGTTGCTTGGGTGTTTTGTTCATCATAAAGTGTTTGTTTGCCTTCAGTTTCTGCGGGTCAGTCTTGCCTAGACTGAGAGATATCTAGTGTGGTATGATTCAGATTTAAGACACAGGCTGTCATAAATACTTAATAAAAATGGTCCTGAGTGTTCTGGCACATGTGAGATGAGAAGGAAGTACCAATCCCCTTTAAGCATTGTCCATGGTGGGTAGGGGTTAGCACAGCCAGATTTCATTTCCTTCCAGTGGGCATTGTTTGAGCACCTGCTAGACGCAAAGCCATGTGGGGATGAAGGATTGACTAAGACCCTGGTGGCTCTCCTAAAATGACTTTGTGTCTAAAGAGAGTGACAGGTAAGTAAACAATGAATTACGCAGAATAAATAGGTACACAACACAAGACGGTAACCTCAGGGATCGGGGTGGGGGTGGGGTTTCTTAGAGCACCTGGTGGATGAATTGAGTTGTAGAGAATCAGCAGGATTTCCTTTGGTGGTGTGAAGTGGGGAGCATCCCTGAAAACAGCAGGAAGGACTGGAGTGGGCGTGGGGCAGGCAAGGAGGCTCAGTATTCCTGGGCTCTGAATCCTTTAAGGCAGGGCTATGTTTCTAATCCGGGTACTCCCAAGCTCCGGCACACTAGTCAGTCTCCTAGTAATGGTTTGTTGAATGAATAAAGGAATGAGAACTTGTGATCCTCCAACATGAGCAAAGACCAGGGGATGAGAACATTCTTGGCCATTTTTAGAAAGGAAGATAGTGTGGCTAGAAGAGAGGATTTCTTAGTGCTCTTAGTAATGAACAAGATTAAGAAAAAGGACCAAGGAAAGTGGCCTTTATTCTGTAGGATCTGTGGACCCACTGAGGGTTTCCCAGTAGAAGGAGGGTCATCATCAGACCCGTCCCAGAAAGAAGACAGGCAACAGCAGTGTAGATCAGAAGCCAGAGGGTCAGGGAAGGATGGTTGAGAGTCTTTCCACAGCCCAGACAAGACACGGGGAGACCTGAGGAGGGTCAGAGAGTAAGGATGGTAATAGGTAAATTCTCACTGGAACCTCCGTCTTCTAAGAGATCTGAAGAATAGAGATTTCAGTGTGTCTCTACTAGTATGTTCTCTTAGCAGGGACATTAGGAATTTAACTTCCAAGGAGAAATCATTGAAAGCAAGAGCTCTCGATTGAGACTTGCTTTTTCTACCACCTTCCTCATTCGCTCTTTATCATCAGAATGCTTGGTCCTAGGCCCTCTGTGAATTGATGCCAGAGTCAAAGGGTTGACAGCCCAGTGTACTAGTCAAGGACCCAGCCCAAGATAAACATTCACTTTATGATGAACAAAACACCCACACAACTTTCACAAAAGGCAATCCATTGGTGAAACAATGAATAACTCTGGTCTCTGTTTAGAGTGGGCCCTAGACACTCTTCCTTCCCATTCTACACTTGTGCCAACTCTGCAGCATCGCCACTCCACGCGAAATGAAATCCCTGGTCTTACTGTAGGCAAATTACAGCTGATAAGGGTATCGCTACCTTTATCAAAGGATCATTGGGAAGATTAAATGAAATTATGCCGCTAAAGCATTTAGCACAGTGCCTGGCCCACAGTAAGTGCTGGGTCAGTGGTGGCTCCGTCACAGTCATCATGGTCGTTGGGTTGTGCAGTGGGTGGGAAAGGCACAGACCTGAGAGTTGAGACTCCAGGCCAGACTTAACCACTGATGCCCCCATGTGATCTTGGCCAAGAGGCAAAATGTTTTGGACCCTCAGGTTCCTCATCTTTCAAATGGGAAAATAATTCCTGCCCTACCCACCTCATCAAGCTATTTTGAGAATCTAATGAGATTAGAGCATGGAAATGCTTCAGAAAGCATAAGCCTGTATTCAAATAGGAGGGGTTGTGAGACACCTGGCTAACCCCGAAACCAGAGACACGTTCTGAGGCGTTAGCTCTGCCCTGGGGCTTTTCTTCCCACGGTGTGCCCTTGGCTGACCTCCATGGCACCCCCTCTCCTTTCTCCATGCCCAGGCCCCACTCCCCGTCAAACGGCGGCCAGCCCTGGGTAGTGCCTGGCGTCATCAGGCCCAGTGCCTGCTCTTTTACCCCAGCTCTGACCCATCGAGGGGTTGGCTGCTGCGCCAGGTGTCCTCCCATGGCATGTGAAGCCTTGCCCTTCTCACCAGCTCCATCCGTGACAAGGCGATTAGGAAACAGATAATTAGGGCCAAGCCTAAGGGGAATTTTAGAAAAGATGCCACCCAAAATAGGAAGGCTCTGGAGGGGCCTGAGGAAGGGTGGGCAGGGCTGCTCTGTGGTTTCCCCAGCGCCATCCTGTCTGAGCACACACAGGGCCACCTGGAGGCCACCTCCCCACCGCACCGAGGAGGCACAGAACCCAGCTGTGCCACTCCCCAAGGCTGGGGGGTGGCTTCCTTAGCACCAAGGCCCTCAGAGCCCAGGAGAGAAGGGGGCATGCCCAGGAAGATACACACGGTGGGCACACCTGGCAGCCAGTCTCCCTGAGTGTTGGAACTGGGCTGGTCACAGGGGTAGGTTCAGAAAAATACAGAGCCCCTACCCTCTGGTGGCTTATGGATGCCCTGGGGAGACAGCTGACCATGAACAAAGTAGCTCAACTGCTGGTAGTATGTGGAAAGTGCCTGCCAGATATTAGGGCAAGGGTCTTAGGGTGTCAGAGGAGAGGAGAAAAGCTGGAGAAGTCCAGGAAAGCTTTCTGGAGGAGGTGGGTGATAGCCATGACCTTGAAGGTGGTACCACAGTGAGCCAGGCTGGGCCGCTGGGTCTTTCAAGGTTGAGGAAGTCTTGGGCTTTGGCTTTCCCTTTGCCTTTGGAACAGAGCAGAGTTACTGGCTCCTCAGTGGAGCCTGCAGCTCTGACCTTACAGATAACCCTGTGCTGACCACTGGGCTGAGACCAAAGGTCCTAACCAAGCAGCTTTACCAGCCCCAAATAATTTCAAGTTGGCTGCATTTGCTCACATTCCTTTTCATCCTAAACTCTGAGGAGTCCTAAAATGTGCATGTTTTTACTGTTTTCAGAATGCTTCTGCCCATCTTTTGATTTAATCCCAAGCAATCTACAACCTCTAGAAGGGCATTTTCAGTAGACCCCAGACAGTCTAGATACTTGGGTTCAGCCTCCTCTTCCATCTTGGAATCTGAGAACTGAGCTGGAGCCTTGTTCTGTAACAAGTTACCTGAGAAGTTACCTGCCTGGGGTGTCCTGCAAGCTGGAATGGCCTTTGCCTACTTGCGGGGGAGTCCTCAAAATACCACCCCCCTTGGGTACATGCACTCCAGCCGTGCTTCTCCACAGCCTTCACCTTTTGGAGTTCTTTATAGAATGACAGCGCTGAGAGCGGCCAGAGATGTCCTCCCGCCCACCCGCCTGTCTCTGGGCAGTACCACGCCTGGTCTTGCTCTGACTGCGCATTGTTTCTGCTCTGAGCCAAACACACATCAGCGACCTGCTACATTCTATATAAACGTGGAGACCAAACCTTATAGAAGAAAAACTGGGTTTAGCACCACCTTCTAATTATATAGAGCTTTGCATTTTGCAGTAGGTTTTCAAAATCTTCCACCTTAATTAATCTTGTGAGGTTAAGCTGAGAATCTGAGCCTCATCTGATACATGAGGAAGTCAAGTGACTGGCTTGAGATCACCCAGAAATCTAATGCCAGACTTGAAGTGAAACTGGATACAACCTGGTTGATCTTCCGTCTCCTTCCAGCACATGGCCAGTGCTGAAGAAAAACTGGGATGGGGCAGTTACTTGCTTTTCAAAAAGTTCTGCAGCTTCTTGACTCAGAGTAGAATTCCTCTTGTGCACTGACATTCTGATTCCGTTTGTAAAACTGCAGTCCTTACACACCATTCTGCAGGAAGCCCATGGTGTTGAGTATTCAGCATCATGTCATACGTGCATGTAACCTAAGTGACTTTGACTCCACACACTTGGTCAGAGAGAGAAAAGAGAGGCAGAGAACGTAGATAAGAAAAATGGCCACCGTCAAAGATAAAATGCACCAGACAACCAAGGAGAGGATTTGATTTGAGCTCTTGGAATAGGGAGAATGTTTATGGAACACCTCAAATAAAAAGAAGGGGGTCTGGGGCTTCCCTGGTGGCGCAGTGGTTGAGAGTCCGCCTGCCGATGCAGGGGACACGGGTTCGTGCCCTGGTCCGGGAAGATCCCACGTGCCGCGGAGCGGCTGGGCCCGTGAGCCACGGCCGCTGAGCCTGCGCGTCCGGAGCCTGTGCTCCGCAACGGGAGAGACCACAGC